ACACCACCACTAATAATACACACACACACACACACACACACACACACACACACACATTTAGGGGCAGATGACCCAGGCAACCACCTGGGGTGCCAGGCTTCAGGGGCGCCGGGCTTGAGGTGCTGTTTTTATTGTTAGTGACAAAATGGAAACCCGAACGTTTGAAGTACAATGTTTCAAGTATTCCGTATGTGGATTCATTTTTCACTAGCCTCCCAGAATGTTCTGGACCTTTATAGGATCTCATGGAACCTTACAGATTTTCTGAGAACTACATTTTCCTCCAGCCTCTAAGAACGTTGTCAGCCACACCCTCGCAAGTATACACGGAGCAAGGAATCATCTAGGGTTGACAACTTTCTAATTGCACAAAAACGAACACCCTGGCCCTGCCCCTTTCCCAAGACCTCACCCATTCCCCAAGGCCCCGGCACCACTCATTCCAGCCCCCTCCCTCCGTTGCTCACTCTCTCCCCCACCCTCACTCACTTTCACTGGGCTGGGGCAGGGGGCTGGGTGTGGGAGGAGGTGAAGGCTCCAGCTGGGGGGTGGCTCCAGGGTAGGGCCAGAAATGAGAGGTTCAGGGTGCAGGAAGGGGCTCCAGACTGGGGAAGGGGGTTCAGGGTGGGGGCTCTCACCAGGCGGCATTTACCTCAGGCTGTTCCCGGTGAGTGGCACAGTGGGGCTAAGACAGGCTCGCTGCCTGCCCAGGCTCCGTGATGCTCCCAGAAGTGGCCGGCATTCTCGGCCCCTAGGCGGAGGCACAATCAGGTGACCCTGCAGGGTGTACGCTGCCCATGCCCGCAACCGCCGCCCCCAAAAAACTCCCATGGGCCACAGTTCCAGCCCAATGGGAGCTGTGGAGCTGGCACTGGCAGTGGCAGCAGGACTCGGAGCTTCGCTGATTGCCGCTGCACCTATGGGCTGGATGGGCCGGCTGCTTCCAGGGAGCTGGGAAGAGCCAGGGCAGGCAGGGAGCCTGCCTTAGCCCCACTGCGCCGCTGACCAGACTTTTAATGGCTATGTGAAGCTGCCAGGGTCCCTTTTCGACTGGGCGTTCCGGTCAAAAACCTGATGCCTGGCAACCCTAATATCACCAGCTAGTCTTAGGAGACAGGGATAAATCATGCATACAAATCATGCATCAAAGTCATGAAATGAGCTACAAATGACAAAAAAAAAAAAAAATACGGTATTGAAAAGTTTAACAAATGGAGGGGGGAGGGGTGCACCATTTGGTCTAGGGGCAGCCCCGGCTGCCGGTCCTCAATGCTTCTCAGGATTTAGCTCCATTTATAGGATTTCCCAGTGCTTCTAATTTCTACATGAAATTGATCATGATCTCATTGTTAATTTCCAATTCTGTAATACTAACAGCTTCTTAAGGGGAAGCTGCCAAAAGGACAGACCCGGAGTTACTGCTACTTCATTCTCGCTTGCTCCTCTGACAGACCTCCAGGTACTGCAGTCCAGTATAGGAAGTCTCCAGCTACCGCTTTCTGGGCCCACTTCTGGCTTTTCAGTATGGCCCTGTGACACTATTAAAAGATCTCTCAGTGGGACATGGCAACAGAAAGAGGTTCTTGTCCACTATGGGACAGAGTGTGAGCGGACTAAAACTGGAATACCCTAAGGTAGGGTTACCATATCTCATAAATAAAAAAAGAGGACCCTCCACGGGCCCTGGCCCCACCCATTTCCCCACCCCTAGCCCCGCCCCAACTCCGCCCCATCCCCAGCCTAACTCCGCCCCCTCCTCCCTTCCACTCCCAGCCAGGGGGAAAGGGCTGCCCCAGTGCTACCGGCTTCAGGGTTTGCCAGGCAGCCCCCAGACCCTGCGCCCCCGGCCGGCGCTTCCCCAGCACAGCTGGAGCCCGGGAGGGGAAGAGCCCAGCCGGGGGCGCAGGGTCTGGAGGCTGCCCAACAAACCGTGAAGCCGGTAGCGCTCAGGCTTTGGGCAGCCCCTATGCCTCCGGACCCTGCGCCCCCAGCCGGGCACTTCCCCTCCCGGGCTCCGGCGGCGCAGGGTCCGGAGGCACGGGGGCTGCCCGAAGCCGGTAGCGCTCGGGCAGCCCAGCTCTTAAACAGAGCCAAAGAGTCGGGGAGGAGCAGAGCCGCCATTTTCCCGGACATGTTCGGCTTTTTGGCAATTCCCCCCGGACGGGGGTTTGACTGCCAAAAAGCCGGACATGTCCGGGAAAAAGAGGACGTATGGTAACCCTACTTAAGGAGTGACAGAGGGAGAAAGAGGGAGTGAATGAATAAACGAACACAGAGAAGGAGGAATTATCCCTGACGCCCAATCTTTCCGCTTCTCAAAATTCTGGGTTTTCCCTTCAGGGCCCGTTTAGAACCTGAGGTGTATCCACCCCGTTGGGCATTCTGCTACTCTTCATGACCCAGATGCAGTGAACCCCCACATTAGAGTCCAGATAATGCTGCTGAGAGCTGCCAAGCCAATACCAGCTTCATTGCAGACACTCTATGTGGGACTCATTTATTATGGGCACAGAAACATTACACAAGGCATTCAAGGCATTATGTTTCACTAACCGGAGAACTTACCAATTCTGTTTGTCCTCTGTGCGCTTGCTGCTGGTAGAAACCAGAATAGTCCAAGGAGGAAAAACACTTGAGAGAAGATGAACAAAACTTGTTTAAAATCTAAGATATGGCAATAAACAACACAGGGAGATATTACTAAATAAAGGAGTCTAAGCACCTTTGTATGAGTCTGATCCTAATCTCAGTTACACTGATGTAAATTTGGAATGACTCCATTGGTTTACTTTTATTGGAGTTACCCTGGATTTATCCTGGGACTTAGCAAATCAGAATTAGGATCAGGGCATTAGACCTCATTGATGTGGGGAGAATGGAAGCTAGGCACTGGATTTTTCCATTCTAGTCTCATCCTGTGATACTCTGTAGGGGGCAGCTGGGAGGCTGGAGTCTGAGTGGCTTCCCAGTGCCCTGGGGCAGGGGGTCATGGATTCACAGGGTCTAGTCTATGCTGCAGCCTGTAACCAGTCCCTTTGGAGAGATCCCTGCAGTGTGCTGGGCCCTAAGGACATACACAGTTCCACAGGGGCAGACCTTTGGGTGCCAGCAACCCCTGTCATTTTCCATGGCTCCCTGTAATAAGTCCAGCAAAGCCAGACCCCAGTGGGAGGTTTATTTTTACTCCTTCAGGGAAGAATGCTCTCAGTGAGTATTTGCAGTGATGCCAGGCAGCCTTTTCAAAACAAGGTAAGAATGTATTAGCCACCTGGCCTACAGAATCTGACAGTTCTTACTTTAGCATAGAGAGGCACAGGTTAAGACGTGGTCCATGCTGACCAATGCCAGGGCTCCCATGGGCCAGGCTGCTGTAGGAACAAACCATCTTGTCTCTCTCTCGCCGTCTTTGTTCCTTTAGTTCCAGGTGTGTCTCTGAAAGCTCAGCTCTAAACCCAGCCACCTGTCACCTTTCCATAGGCGGCGAGTTATATGGGCCCGTGGTGCCCGTGCTCCACCAATATTTAGGAACGTGGGCCCAGCTCCACCAAAGTTTGGGCTTACCGTGCTTTGGGGTGCTCCGCGCTTCAGGGGGACACAGGGTTCAGTGTGCCCTGGGAGGTTAGTGGGGGGGCTGGCACTGGCAGCAGCTAGCAAGCAACCCGTCCTCAGCCCGCCCTGCTCCGTCCTGCCCTGCCAGCTCCCGGCATCGCACAGGGGAAGAGGTGGAAGCTGGAAAGAGGTGGGGTGGGGGCTTGGGGGAAGGGGTGGAGCAGGGGTGGGCTGGGGCGGGTCACTCACTGCTGCCAGTGCCAGGCCCCCCACTAACCCTCCAGGCTGCCCTGGACCCTGTGTCCCCCTGAAGCTCAGGGTCCCCAAAGTGCAGGGCCTGGGGCGGTTGCCCTGGTCCGTCCTATGGACGGGATAGCTCTTGGTCCAGGGTGGCCTGGGGGGTTAGCAGGGGATCTGGCTCCATCCCCTCCCTGCCCTGCCCCCATTCCACCCCTTCCCCCAAACCACCGTCCTGCCTCTTTCAGGCTTCCGCCCCCTTCTCCGAGCGATGCTGGGAGCTGGCGGGGCAGGCTGGGCCCAGGTCGCTAGACCCCATGTATCCCTGAAGCGTGGGATCCCCAAAGCGTGGGGCTCAGGGTGGTTGTCCCAGTCCAGCCTATGGACTGGGTGGCTCTAATTGGACTTATTCTGGGCACCACCAAAAATTATACAAACCTGGCACCCATGCTCCTTTCCTCTTTGTTCTCCCGCTCAGGGTGTTTGGTTTGCTCCCCTACAAGGGGCCGGGAAATCTCCTTCCTCTCAGCTGTTGGTCACTAGGAGTGAATGTCTGGGCCACTGGGATTTCCGTTATCTCTTCCAGACCCTCCATTCACATGTGTAGATTTTCTTTACTTAGTTTGTTCATGACTCTGGTCTCCAACCAGACTGCTGAGTCAAATACCACATCACGTTTCTTTACACTCAATGCACAGAAATGCAAAGGCCAGAGGGAAACTGAAGCATGCAAAGGAATCATAAATCATTACCAAAATTCACACAATCACCACATGGGGCTTTCCCCTTTTGCCCTTGTCATTTTGGGTTCTGTCAGATATAACCTTCTCCCATCTGTTCCTCATGGGTCAGCAAGCCCAGTGCTAAGCAAGGAAGCAAACACACACCCTAGAGAGGGGCAAGATGCACAGTAAATTTGCAGGAGAGCATGAATCTTGCTAATCTCTTTAACCAACAGTTGGTGCTGCAGCTGCTCTTTGACCACCTGAGAAGCCCAACTGGTCACAGAATGTACATCTACACCGCGCAGCAGCCTGCAGCAGCAAGACTCAAAACCCATCTCGACAGACTCGGGCTCGTGCGACTGTGCTAAAAGTAGCTGTGTACACAGAGCTTCTAAGTTGTGGCTTGGACGGGAGGTCAGGCTAGGGAGGGGGATGGGCCTCAGCTGGTCCAAACCACAACTTAAAAGTGCTGACTACACACCTATTTTTATCATGGCAGCACAAGCCTGAGTCTGTCAAAGCGGGCCTGGAGGGTTCCTGCCACATGTTTTAGTTACTAGTTTAGAGTTAGAATTAGTTTAGTGGTTAGCTATGTTGATTATGGGTAGGGAGGAGGTTGCGATATGATGCTTTGGGGAAGTTTTGGCAGGATGAACTTAAAGTTTTATGGTAAGGCATTTTGTTTATATAGTGATTTTTTTTTATTGGCACTAATGAAATTTGCATTGTTATGCTGTAATTAATTGTTGTTTGATGAGTGCTTTTTTTTTTATTAATTTTTTTAAGGAGTTATTTTATACTGGATTTGATTACAGCTATTTTGTTTTTATTCATAGGTGCTAGTTTTATTTTTAGAGTTGTTAATTTGCTTTTTATATATATTTTAAAAGGGGCGTGTTGCAATTTTTGGCACTTTTGTTTGTTTTGGGGTTTTTTTAGAATATTTGGTTGGTGATGGCTTTTATATTTATTTTTTAATATATGTATTTTTATTTATATATGAAATAGGATTGATTTACATAGAGCATTTGAACAGAAATGATCATTTGCAATGCAGAAGAAAACAATTATTGCTTTTTTTCTTTTAAACTTATTTTAAAATGCTAAACTTATAACAAAGTGGTGACCTGAAAGGTCTGTTACTGCTTTGAAATTAGCTTTAAACATTAGGCCATTCTTGCTTTTAGAAAGGGTGGCTGGCAGCAGGGCCGGCTCTAGCGTTTTTGATGCCCCAAGCAGCAAAAAAAAATTAATTAATTAAAAAAAAAAAATGATGAGATTGCGATTGGCGGCAGCTCTACCGCCGCTTCATTCTACGGCGGCAATTCCACGGCAGGTCCTTCGCTCCGAAACGGAGTGAGGGACCCGCCGCTGAATTGCCGCCGAAGACCCGGACATGGTGCCCCTTTTCGTTGGCCGCCCCAGGCACCTGCTTGCTACATTATTAATTTTTAATTTTTATTTTAAATTATACACAACATAAAATTTTATTACTACATAAAATTACATAACTACATAAAACTACTACTGGTTTTTTTTTAAATTAAGAACAATTTTTGAGTGGGTTATATTTTATATAAACTGTTTTATAGCAATATACTGAGAGGCAATTTGAGCTTGTGGTTGTAAGTTAAACTTTTTTTTGTTTAATAACACATACAACACATTTTTAGCCAGCAAACACAGGACAATATTAACACAACTAGCAATGGGTGAAACATGATAGACAATACACTTTTAGAAGTCGGGGACTAGCCTATAACATAACTTAGTTTGTTTGCTATTATTTTTATGTTAGTAGCATTTAGTGTGTTAAGTTTTATTTAAAACATTTTTGGGGAGCTTTTTTTTTTTTTTTTAAGGCTACTTACTTTTTTTGGCTGCCAAGCAAATTTAATAACTTTTAGTAGTTTACATTGAGATAGGATTAGGGCAGCTATATTTTTATTGGATTTTTATTGCACTGCTTTTTATAGTATGTAGGGAAGGCGGTGCAATGGCTTTTTTTTAATATATATTTAATTTTATACAACACACAGGTGCATTTAGCTGGGCTTGCATGCTGGAAGTTGATTAAGACTTTCTAATTATTACTGAACTTTTAAAGCAATTAATGTTTTATTTATATATATATATATATATATAATA